ATTGATAGGTCATTGGTTAGTTAAGTTCATATATAAATAGGAAAATTTATTTCTAAAACATAGTGAAATTATTTATATTAGAAAATATTTTTTCAAATAAAAGTATCTTTTTTAGATAATTTTCAGAGGGATGGACTCGCATGGGCAGATTCTTTTGTATTAAATGTAAAAAAAAAAAAGAAAATGCAAGTCATTTTCATTTTTTGCCGAACAGAAATGCGGCGTTTCACTTAAATTCTAGTAAGAAATTAATTTATTTTTTATCTGCCGTTACTCTATACGACTTTCTCCCATCTTTTTAATCCACTTATCATTTCTCGCCAGAGATGTTCAGGTCTAGTGTTGAAACATAGGTTTAGTCAGCTTTTAAAACATTCTTTATAAACGGCTTTTATATTCAGATACACAGCTATGAACTTGATCGGGAAAGTTGATTATTTGTGGTGATTCGGTCTGAGGAATATAGTGGGTGCAAAGGAGACTTTCGCTCATGCTTTCTTAGGACAGCTTTCGTAATATTTTCCATGTGAGAACTGGTATTGTCGCTCGGGTCTTTTCTATTGGATAGCCTCGTTCAATGACGCGTTTAGGCCTGTTATCCATGCTGTTTTCAGCGAGCACTTGCCAGTGTACCAGATCCTGCCAGTATTACCATGCTCAAATCATCGTTTTTTCAAGGTGGATATCTGGCTCTGTGCTTAGGCGTATTTCCCGGGTATACTCTTTTCGTTCTCTGCTTTATATCGATGTCGAAACACCACTTTTTGGTTACTAGTGACAATTTTATGAAGAAACCTGCCATTATAGCTGGGTGTTGTCCGCTGTCGGGCGAGATGTTGAGAGTAAATGAAAACCTTTGTTTCCTTAGGCGCATCACTGAGTACATGGTATATTTAGCTTTTTCATTTCTGCTAAAGTTCCCTACATTTAAGATGCCTGACAATATCCTGATAATCGCACTCTATCTCGGCTGATTAACGACTTGTTTGCCATCCAAAATCTTCCGAACGGGAAAGGTATATCCGCAGAGTCAGAGATTCCACCTTTGAACCTAACAAATCAGTTCTAGCAGTCCTCTTAGTTATAAAAACTTCGCTGTGCCTAACACAAGTATCACAGGCCATTTACGCAGTTTCTGACCTCAGCAAAGGCGAAATGAGGTCAAAAATGCATTTTTTCTACCTGAAACCTCCATCTTTAGAGGCTGACTTTTAAATAAAACGCTCTTCATTGACAACAAGCGCAGAGAGAAGAAAAATCTCTTTGGAATGATGACACAGAAGTGAACAAACACTGGAAAGATAAAAGGGCAAAAGACATTGAAAACAGATAAAAATTACTTATGTTTCAATTAGATAATACAAACAATATAACATTTCGTTAATATAACGAAGAAAAAATAGCAATAAAATAGCCGAAAATGTTCACGTGTCTTGAACAATATTATTAAAATCCTACAAATATAGTTCATACAGTATTTATATTTATATTCGGATAGACTAATGACTGTATTAAGCTGTTAAGTGTATCTCTCAGTTTCACTAATTGACAAGCAATTTATGGACGAGCTGTAAATTGTGAAATCGGTTGCTCACCTCCGAATCCAGGCCGTATTCGACGGTCATAGTTCTCTTCGGACAGGAGGCTGTCGAGCAGAAGCGATGTGTTTGCCATGATTTTTTTGGAGAGTGTCGACTTGACATCTTCTAACGCGTCGTTGCCATAAGAAATAGAAGAGGACGACGAAGGAGAAGTACCATTGACGTTTAGTCCACCGTTTCCACCAGTACCGATGGATCGTGTCATCTGCGCCGGATCCGTCGTGCTAGAAACAAATCAATGAGAGGATAGCGAAAACAATACAACCACGTTACGAATTCAACGTAAAGCTTTTTCATACACACAATATGTGTAGCCAGATATCTACACAAATATTAAACAAAGACGTATAAGTTTATGGCCGATCCCAGTCTTAGCATCCTTATGTAAGGTTCTAAGCTTGGGAACTGCTATCCTCCTGCTAACCTATTTGCTCGTTAGTTCCCGGAAACATTATAAAACGTCCAAAACAACATCCAATACAAACACGAATCACTTCCGGTTGCTAAAATTATCGATAGCTTTAGACAGTATCTAAATACTAAATGTCCTATGTAAATTAAATGTAAATTCTAGTAATCTTAGCATATTTCTCATTGCTTTTGTCTTTAGTATAGGTCTCATTATTAACAGTTCAGTATTTCACATTGCCTGAACTGTAATCACACCCAAGTGTGTATCTTTTTACGGCAATCATTTTACGTGCCGGTTTTCCCAATTCATTTGCCCATCCATTGTCCGTTGACACACGTCATAGCATACACACTACCATATTCACTTTTTTAAAGTGTAGTCTTTAACTCTGAAAGTCTTTTTTGATAATGACGGCGCCTTTTTATAAGCCCACATTGTTTTTAGGGATTTGCTTCTGCTTGCTCTTCTACTCAATGTTGGCAGGTGAGTTCGGGTAGAAACCCAGACTTGTTTTCCTTCTTTAGCCACGGCAGCAGGGGCTAGAACATCCGGTCGAGCTGAAATTTCCCTGACACGGCTCTCATTACTATGACCACCGCCGCTACAACCAAGAACAACTTTCGGCACATTGGTAAACCCGACCAGAAAGTAAAAGGGAACGAGGGAGAATTTGCATATGTACGAGGCCGACAGAGAGGGCCATGCAAAAGGGAACCAGCTAGAGAGAGAAACAAGTGGAATCTGTCAGCGCAGGATTACCTTCAAGCTCTAGAAGCGTTTCAAAGCGGGTGTTCTGTAGACCAACCTAAATTTTCCAGCTATCCTGATTTTTGGTCAGGGTATCAGCATGAGACGACCTCCTGGTAACCTGTACGGGAATGACGGTATAGACGGATGAACGGTCGTTCGTTTGGTTGGCTATTGGCCGGCAGCTGGTAGCTAATTGCTAGGCATTAAGGTACAGAAGAATAAAATAGGGACAGACAGCGTTCGCAGAGCAGGCGTTCGAACTACACGTACTGGCAGCCGTAGAGCACAATGGGACCTAATCAACCGTCTACGTTTTTCCTTTTACTTTGACCTAATTCGTACTATTTAGATAGATAGCCGAGAGCTATATATTTGTTGTTTGTGGGAACGTATTTTAGCTTAAGCGGCCGTTTCGTTCCCGCAGAGTCTATATCGCTCCTGTTGTCGCGCCTTTTCACGTATTTTTGCAGCTAGTTCAACTTGAAAGACAAGGAGCGTCACGGGATCTCTATACATTCCTGAAATGTCGAGTCCGTGATTTCCTGTAGATACGCTGTTCATTGAATTAGGGACGGCTTGTTCCATTCTCCTCCTTGCTCAATCCCGTTTCGGACAAGACACGTTCCGAAAGAAGGGCATCGCCAACGTGACCTCCCAGCTGCTCAAAACAACAGCTGGTAGAACAGCAATGCACAACGTTCGAGTACTTGCCGGCCGCGCATCCGCCATCCAACAGTAATGTGAGTAACAGAGTCATACATAAGTGAGACCGAGAATAACGGTATAGGCAAACGAATAGCTGAACTGGCAAATATGACATTTTGTCTCCACGGAAGAACTTATAGTAGCTCAGCGAGAAACAAGTAGTATACAGGGGACCTCAAGCACCACTCGTTTCATATATAGACCTGTGTCTCGCAGGAGTAACACACGCATGAAGAACATAGCTTAGAAATGGCAAGAGTAACAGTAAATGTCGAGGCAATGCATAATTCCGTGTGTCAAATATACGAAAAGACATTAACAATAGGAAGAGTTTACCTAACTAAGCGTCACTGAAAAAATTAGACAAATGTTGAGCGTTGAAAATTAAGCCAGAGTAGATTACAGTAGGATTTAAAACATATTAAAAAAATATCTGTGGATATATTCCAACGTTTTACTTCGTCGAATGTATGGAAGATCATTTCTGTTTATAATTTCCGGTAAAATAGAATGGTCAGTGTCGTGCGAGATTATTATACTTATTAAACTCAGATTATGGCATGAAACTGGTAGTTATCTAACACAAGCAATTGGCTGTTCGCATATATATAGTTTCGATATCTTGGCACCCTTTTTGAAATTTGATAAAAGCAGATCAAGGCACTGGCAGCGCGATGGCACTTATGCATTCGACAAAACTCGTCTAGGGCGCGAACCTTTCCTTCTTCAAGTACAAAGTTAACTGTAAATAATTAGATTCACTACTACTGTGATCCACTTAGATAGACGGGCCGAAGCATCGTAAACTGCGAGGTAATCATAAGCCTTGAGGACCGTACTTACTTGCGAATTTTTATTTTGAACCGTCTGTGACCTTACCCTATATTTAAAGCCTTATACCCGCTAATTTATGGAAGGTAGGGCGGTTCTTGAAATAGAGATGTGCGCTTTTAAAATGTTTACTTGCCTAGCCACTGTTAATATTTCTCACTGTATAGGGTAGCACCAAGATTCTCAGTGAGCCTCTTTAATCGATAACCATCGGGTTTTTTCTTCGCTAAATGGCACCGTATTCTTTTGTAACCTTTTATCCTGGATAAAGCCAGCTAAATCCTTGGTTATACCAACAGTTTTTAGGTATATGAGACGAATTTCTGCAATTAATGTCCTTGTAGCTTTTGCTGTTTTGTTTCCCAACGCAAAAATTCCACTCCTATAAAAATAACGCAAAACGTTCGGTAATAGCAAAAAGGTAAAATAGGAATAGAAAAATGATTATCTGCGTATTGTTTGTGTGTGTTTTCTGATCCCGACATTTTACCTAAGTATATGTACCCACCATAAATAATCCTGCATTCGAAGCTGGCATATGGACTCGACAGATATAAAATTGATGATGACACAAAGCAATAGCAAATGTTTTAGGAACACATGAATATTTTTACGTTACAAAAATGAATACTTTTACGTTGATTTTTTTAGTTCAACCAAGTCAGCTAGTTACTCGTACATATTTTTCAAGCTAATCGAAAATAAAATACTAACTATTTTTATAAACAAGGAACAAAAAAACATAATTAACTGTCTTATTCATATTATCGTTAGGTTATTATTTGGAATGACAGCTTGTATCATATAAGTATGGAAATTACAACCCGTGTTAATCTCATAACAATATATATGTATAAGCTTTAATGTTACGTTGTCCGCATGTTATTCTGAGGATACAATAATTTCTTATAATGATAAAACACCTGCAACCGTATAGGATTTGTGTTAAAGCAAAGATTTTTTTCCCTGAGAAAATCTCTATGAGTGAGCATGCCGTTTTCCGTATGTAGATTTATTTACTGCTTTAGAATTATCTGTTTGTTGGCAGTCTATACAAATTGGAAAATAGCAAAAGATTAATTAAATAAATGTCGAAAATGACGGTCTGTTTGGGCGACCCGGTGCATTGAGCGTGGTTGACGCGAACGGTAAGCCCATTTCCATCGAAATGCCTTATCTTGTTAGACGGCGAATAAGTGGATTGGGACAATCGGCTACTAAAAGAAGTTTGGTAGAAAGACTAAGTTAGAACTACAGGATGACCGGTGATTCACAAAAGACGGGCTTATACAAACTGTATGATCCAATAGTGAATAGTTTTCGTGGACTTGAGTTCGAAAACGAAGTTTTTTGGAATGCAAATATGATACATATACGTCTAGACAGGAGGCTATAGATTTCTATCGAAATCAAAATGGTCAATATATTGAAATGAGATTTGCAAATATTGTGACATGACATACATGAAGAGGCTCAACGTAAAGCTGTTGTGTTGCATCTTTCATATGAGATGATGCCTTATAATGATTCCGGAGATAAAACTCTAGGCACTTAACTTTTGACACATAGAAGTCATGCGGTTGGTTATAAACAGAAGCTTCGCTCCTAAATCAGTACATCACACTCCTGATCACACACTAAACCTGGTTACTAAGAAAAACAAATCGCAGACGTAAATAAGCATAAAGCAATAGGCAGATACAAAAATGACCTATTTCTATATGAGGAAAAAACACAGGTTTGAATGATACGGGATAAGAAAGAAACACATTTTTAGAAATAAACGATTTTCGTTCGTAAGGTTGGCCGTATGTACCTCGTACAGACCTGTTATTTTACATCACGAACAACCTTTAATTTTGTACAGTAATCTCTATTGGTAATACAAAAAAAGCAAAATACAACTTTCCCGCTGTAAAAATGTGTGTAATGCAATTGTCTAAGCCAACAGTCGGTTTACTGTTTCTATTAGGCCCACTAGCCTAGGCCTTAACGTCGTCAAGGCGATAATTCGGTAAACGGGGCTAAATCGTTCGACTTGTTAAGCTTTAAGGCTGGTGTCCTATTTGTTCCTTTTAATGTCTTTTACTCTCGGCGGTGTAGTGCTTTCTTTATATCCTAACGCAGCTGGTGATGATATGAAATCAACAAAAGGATTATTTTGTGGATGAAAATAGGCGCCTAATACATATGATTAAATTTACTATTCTATTACATTCTTCACTTTAAATGACATGCAGTAAATGAAAGTACTTGGCCAATCGCACATCTCATTATAATCGAGTGACGGATAATATCGTATCTCCCACCTTATGCTACTAGTTGGCACTATCTGCATGTATTATTAGCAAAAATAATTGAAAAGTATTTCAGTTTATCTATAAATAGTCTTGTTGTCTTAATACTTATTATTTTCGTAAACCAATTTTTCATAAAAAATTTATAACAGTTTTCGACTGTGAGGGCACGGAGTCTTGACTTACTGAGCTTACATCGCAAAGAGCAAAGGCCCATTATTGTCTTAGG